CCACCAAACCAAACAGAACTATAAAAGCAAAATAAGAACCCAAACTATACCCAGAACACCCAGAGCTACAAATGGCTCCTATAACCTTTAATCATTCTACAGTATCTGCAGATGAACAGCATGTCATGAAAACCTAGGTCATTAAAGGTTGTCATGAATTACTTGCTTAAACATAAAAGTATTAGGTCCATTACACTTAGAAATGTACATATATAGACAGTACTTTCACAGCACCTATTGCACCTTATACCGTACCTTTAAAAAATTCTCCATTTAGAACTACACTTTAAGCATAGATTTGCATCAATAACCATTTTCACACAATAATTTTTAAGTATTTATTTGATATTTCAATAATTACAATTCATCCTTTTGTTCCAGGCTCTGCACAACTGCTCTTTGAAAAGTGAGGTGATTATCTGGGAAGGGAAGAAAATTTTTAGTGAAAAACAAGCGTCAATAATGCTACGGTTTACTAAAACTAAACTTTGTGTACAGTCTATTAAGTGCCATAAGTGCTAAGTTGGAGTGACTCACCTCTCTTTTCATTTTCTTTTTCCCTGTTTGTCCAAACACTATTTATATATTACAGGAGAGGCCATGTAAATGTGGGTGGTGAGTTCTTACTGGTATTTCATAACGGTGCTTATTGCTTAAGAGTAATACATAAAATGTTCAAAACAAACAAATAGAAATATGTGTGTTTGCATTTTTTAAAATGCATTTATTTAGATGACATAAAATTCTAAATTAATGAAAGGTGGTTTGACCCTTCAGAGCAGACACTACTTAAGGCTGCAATTGTAACTTTGGTTTATCTTTATACGGTTCCAGAGATGAATACGCCTTTCCTTTTTCCACCTTAGTCTGTCTGGAACATCATATAAATGGAAATCCTGTTACGAAAGACCAACTGACTGCAGATGCATACGTGACATAAGCTGGAAAYTATAGAATTAAAGTCCTCAATTTCCTATCTAAACTTTTTTTTAAAAAATTAATAATTACTTTAGATGGAAAACAAATGACTGTGCCTCATCTATACAGACAAGTAGAATTACTTCAAAGTGATTCTGAGTCATTAGGTCACATGTCCTGGAAGCTATTGAATAAAAACCCTCAATTTTGACCAAAAAATTCCTAAAAAATGGAAAATCATTTAAAATGGAAAACAAAAGACTGTGCCTCATCTATACAGACTAGTAAAATAATTTCAAAGTTATTTTCAATCAATAGATCACATGGCCTGGAAGCTATTGAATAAAAACCCTCAATTTTGAAGAAAAAAATTAATAAAAAATGGAAATTGGCTAAAAATGGAAAACAAATGTCTGTGCCTCATGCATACAGACTAGTAGAACAATTTCAAAGTAATTTTGAATCAATAGGTCACATGACCTGGAAGCTTTTGAAGAACAATCATTAATTTTGCACAAAATCCTAAAAAATGGTAGAAGCAATAAAATCAAAAACTAAAGGGTGTGCCTTGTGTGTCTCATCTAACTGAACACTTTGACGTGTGTTTCATGTGTCTGTGTCACATGACCTGGAAGCTATTGAAGAAAAATCATCAATTTTATCCTTAAAAATTATATAAAAATAGTAAAAGCATCAAAATCAAAATGAAAATGAGTGTGCCTTATGTATGTCACGTAGTTGAACAATTTGACATGTGTTTCATGTAACTGAGTCACATGACCTGGAAGCTATTGAAAAAAATCATCAATTTTACACTTAAAAATTACTCAAATACAGTAAAAGCAACAAAATCAAAAACTAAAAGCTGTGCCTAGTGTGTCTCATGTAGTTGAACAGTTTGACATGTGTTTCATGTGTCTGAGTCACATGACCTGGAAGCTATTGAAGAAAAATCATCATTTTTACACTTATAAATTACTCAAAAATAGTAAAAGCAATAAAATCAAAAACTAAAGGGTGTGCCTTTTGGGTCTCATCTAGCTGAACAGTTTGACATGTGTTTCATGTATCTGTGTCACATGACCTGGAAGCTATTGAAGAAAAATCATAAATTTTACACTTATAAATTACTCAAAAATAGTAAAAGCAATAAAATCAAAAACTAAAGGGTGTGCCTTTTGTGTCTCATCTAGCTGAACAGTTTGACAGGTGTTTCATGTGTCTGTGTCACATGAGCTGAAAGCTATTGAAGAAAAATCATAAATTTTACACTTAAAAATTATATAAAAATAGTAAAAGCAATAAAATCAAAATAAAAATGAGTGTGCCTTATGTTTGTCACGTAGTTGAACAGTTTGACATGTGTTTCATGTGTCTGAGTCACATGACCTGGAAGCTATTGAAGAAAAATCATCAATTTTACATATATAAATTACTCAAAAATAGTAAAAGCAATAAAATCAAAAACTAAAGGGTGTGCCTTTTGTGTATCATCTAGCTGAACAGTTTGACATGTGTTTCATGTGTCTGAGTCACATGACGTGGAAGCTATTGAAGAAAAATCATCAATTTTACACTTAAAAATTACTCAAAAATAGTAAAAGCAATAAAAACAAAAAAAAAGAGTGTGCCTTTTGTGTCACATGTAGCTGAACAGTTTGACATGTGTTTCATGTGTCTGAGTCACATGACCTGGAAGCTATTGAAAAAAATCATC